TGGGGGTGGTTCCTGGTGCGTGGCGGTGGGGGTTGGGGTGAGGGTGGAGGGGAGCTGGCCCCGCACCTGTGTAATGACTCAGCTCCTTCCTCTTCTTGCGGCGCCAGTAGATCCAGAGGCTGAAGCACATCAGGATGACCCAGCAGGCCCCGCCAATGCCCGCGATGAAGGCCGGCTGCTTCACCACGTCTGTGATCTGCTCGGCCAGGCTCACGTTCTCCCCACTACTGATGGGCACCGAGCCCTGGTCCAGAGCAGGCTCTGCGGTGGGTATAGGTGGCAAAGGCAAGGCAGTGAGAGGGCGTCTGCATGGCCCGCTGGGGCTGCAGGACTCATCTGTCTGTAGGGCAGAGGAGGGCAGCTGGCACATGTGCCCCTTCATGCCACAACCCCCCTCACATGGCCAGTGGCTCTGCTGCAACCCCATGAACACTGCCGGTGCCCATGTCACACACACCCCAGCAGCCAGCATCCCTCTGACCCTGGCAGGCACTGAGCCCCGACACCCACGGCAGGGACTTCCCGTCCCTGCCTGCCCTGCCTGCAGTCTGCTGAGCTCCAAGCTGCCCAGCGCCCCGGCAGCATGTCCAGACAGCGCCGTCTCACCCTCACTCCAGTGCCTTGCTGCCCCTCACCGCGCATGGGCAGTGCCCAGCGCAGCACAGCACTGCAACGACTCCAGACCTGCAAAGCCTGGGCAGGGAGGGGTGCAAAGGGAGGTCCAGGGGCGAGAGCCGCCACGTGCCCACTCTGCCGGGTGCACTCACTGATCTGGATGGTGACGGGCGCGCTCCTCACTCCTACGCCGGCGCTGGTGACAGCGGCCACCTCGGTGTGGTACAGCACTCCGGGCACCAGCCCCTGCAGCACCGCTGAGTGCACCGTGCCCTCCACGCTCCTGTTGATGTGGAAGCGGCTCTCGTTCCCCAGGCACCAGATCTGCCAGGGAGAAGACTCTGGTTACCCTTGGCTTCGGGGATGACACGGAGCAGCCTCCCTCACCCCCCCCCAGGTGCCTGGCACTGGCCCTGCCAGAGCATGCAGGCAGTGTGGGACTTGATGACTCTTGCCAGTGGGGTCGAAACCTCCAGGCAGCACCTGTGCCCAGTACATTGGATGCACTTGGTGCCCGCCCCCGGCAGTGCCACCTTACCCGGTAATCCTGGATGATGCCGTTCTGCTCGCCGGCGGGGGGCGGCTCCCACGACACGCTGATGCTGGTGCTGTTGCCCACTGTTACCACGGAAACCGCCTGAGGGGGGGCACTGGGGGCTGGGAGGGAGGAAAGAGGGTTTAGTGCTGAGTGCTGAGGGGGAGCTGCCCCATGCAGCAGTGCCCCCCCCACCCCCCCGGGACGTGGCTTGGCACTGGCGCCAAGGGGACCGGCCAACCGTGAGCACCATGCCTGGCCCCCAGAGCCTCCTGCGGGCCCCTGGACCTGCCAGGAGAGGGTGGGGACTCTGCACATGCCCAGGGAGCCGGCAGCACTGGGGGAGGACAGCAAGCCTTGCTCCCAGCCCAGGCTGTAGCTGCTCGACCATGGCTCTGATGAGCCACAGGGCACCAACACCCTGTCGGCAGAGGCTGGGGAGGGAGCCCGTCCCAGAGCATGGCCACTGGCTCCATGACAGGCACTAGGCAGCCACAGCCCATGGCCGGCGGAGCTGTCAGGCCAAGGCAGACAAGCCGAGGTAGGCATTATGGGACCATAGCGTTATGCCCAGATGCACGTCACACTCCTCCCCTCACAGCAGCGCCGGACCCCCCAGCCTTCCCTCCCCCTCTGCTCAGCGCCGGGCTCCTCTGCCCGAGGAAGCCAGGGAGCGCCAGCTGGGCAGATGTTCCTGAGGATCCCGGCCCCTCCCTGCAGACGGCTCCGCCGCTGGCCCACGGCACGGCAGCTGCCTGGGGAGATGACGGCCCTGCACTGGGGCCGAGCCCTGAGCGGGGGCTGCCACCCCCCCACTGACCTTCCTCGGGCGTGCGCACCACCAGCGCCTCGCTGTCCAGGCCCTGGAACTCGTCAAAGTAGGGGCGGAGCTTGATCTCGTATTCCTGGCCCTTGTGCAGCTCTAGCAGCACGGCGCTGCGCTGGGCCGGCGCCGGCACGTCCTGCACCAGCCAGGCGCTGCCCCGCGGGCGGTACAGCACCCGGTAGCCCTGGATGAACTGGGCCTGGCGATTCACCTGGGGAGGGGGGACCAAGCCATGGGACAGCATTGGGGAGCGCTCGCCCGTGGCCCCAACATGGCCCCCAGCCTCTGGAGAGCTGGAACCAGGCTGCTCCGCATGCTCTGCAGTCCCACCCCATCCACTGCACTGCCCCCCTCCCTCCCGACTGACACACCTCCACCCATGCCACCCACTAGCCTCCCCATGCCCTCTGCACCGCCCCTGCCCCTCCAGGCCCCCTGCTGCCCCCACCCCCTGCCTGTGCACTGCCCCTCTACGCCCCCCACCATCCACAATGCCCTGGCACGCCCACCCAGCTCTCTCTACACTTCCATGCTCGCCTCCACCTCACCACCCCTGGGCCAAGCCGGAGCCGGTACTCACAGTCCAGGACACCTGGATGGTGGTCGAGGTGAGGATGACGGGCTGCTGCAGCTGTACCACGACCTGGCCGAGCTCGCGCTGCACCTGCCGGTGATCCACCCCCTGCCTGGTGGGGCTGACGTCTGCCAACAAACCCAGCGTGAGTGCGGCGCCCGGAGTCACCCCACTGCACAGGGCAGAGGACAGAGGCACAGGCTCGGGCACAGGTGCCCCACAAGCCAGCCACTGGGCTGGGAACATAACTGTCTCCAGGTGCCCACTAGGCTCTACTGCCCAGGGAGCCTGCAGGGACGGCCAGGAGCCCCTGCCCTCTGCTGGGGCCGCTGTACCAATGGCAAGAGCTGGCTCCTGCCTCTCGGCTGCCTGGGGACACACCATTGCCCTGTGCTTCTGGAGCAGAGCCCGCAGGGCGGGCCTCGGGGAGACATCAGGGGGCTTGGGCTGGGCCCCAAAGCCCAGTGCAGGTGCTGATGGGGGAGGCGGGGGCCAAGCAGCCTCTGCATCAGGACAGGCCATGACACTCGGAGCAAGGCTGCTGGGGCACCGTGCTCGGGAAGAGGAAAGGCTCTCCCTGCTGGCCTGGGGCAACAGAAACCCGGGCAGCCTTCGGGTGTCCTTCCATCCAGCCCTCGCCCTGCTCCATGGCCAGGCCTGGGAGACCCCAACCCAGCCCAACCCCCTGCTGCTGAGCACTCCCAGCCCAACCCAGTGCATTGCCCTCCTCTCGGACCTCGCCCACCCCCTGACTGAGACCCCTGGGCCCTGCCCATCCCCCATGAGAACCCCTTGGCTCTGCCCATCCCCGCCTTCTGCTGAGCCCCCCAGGGTGGCCTTGGAGCCCCCGGCCCCTGCTTTGCCCTGTGCCCAGGCTGCCTCACCTTGCGTGCGCACCGGCTCCGAGACGGGGCTGGGGTCGCTCAGCCCGTAGGCGTTGGCGGCGCGGATGAGGAAGAGGTAGATGGTGTTGGGGTTCAGGCCGCTCACCGTGTGCTTCTCCACCCGCACGTTATCGGCCACGGTCTGCCAGGTGCTGCCTGCGGACTGGCTGCAATGGGGCATGGGGAGGGGGTGAGCCACAGCCAGGTCATCTGCCACCTCCCTGAGCTCCGGGCAGGGATGGGCAGTGCCCGGGTCCGGCCCGGCACAGGGGAGCAGCAGCAGAGCCAGGGCTCGCCACGTGAGGGCGATTCCAGAGTCCAGCAGGCCCAATGGTGCCAGGGCCCAGCACAGAGGGACTATGGAGCCGAGACCCAGCCTGGGCCAGGGCAGGGGCACTTGGCCCCTCTCTCACTGGGTGTCCGAAGGGAAAGCAGAGCCTCCTCTTGGGTTACCAGCACTGCCTGCTCCAAGTGTGAGCCCTGAGCCTGCTACCAGCCATGAGCCCCCGGTGTCACTGGCTTCACCCCTGACTCCCCCATCAGGCTGTGGGCGATGCCGCCCCGGCTGCCATCCCCTCCATGCTGACTGGGCCTGCCAGGAAGGGGCTCCTCCAGCCAGCGAGAGATGGGGGGTGGGATAGGGTCGGGCAAGGAGCCCAGAAGCACTCGGGGTGGGTTTGTGTTCCCAGCCCAGGCCCCCTGCCCCATCCCAAAGCTGGCACTCTCTGGGCCCCCCACGTTTTTGTTTTTTGGGGCCTCTCTGGTGGGTGCCCTGGGCAGCAGCGCGTGAGGCGTTACCTGAATGCTTCAATGATGTATGTGGTAGTTGCAGCACCCCCTCTCTGGGGGCTCGGCTTCCAGACCAGGGTCACGCTGTTCTTGGTGACATCGGTGACCAGCGGCACTGAGGGGGGCCCGGGGAGGTGGCCTGGCTCGGAGAGCTGCACCTGGAGGTCAGCCCCAGTCTCTAGAGAAGGACAGATTGACGGACTGACAGTGAGCTCCAGGGAGGCGCCGAGTCCAGCCCGGGCGTGTGCTCCCAGACCTGATTCCAGCTCCCAGACCTGGTTCCGGCTGGCAAATTCAGAGCCTTTCAGTGCATGGGCCCTGCTGCAAACTCAGCCCGTGTTGGCACTGCCAACTCCACCGCCGTGAGCTGAGCTGGGCTGCCACAACCGCTACCTCTGGTGGATGAGGCCAAGGGGGACATGGCAGGGGAGAGGCACAGGGCCAGGCCAGCTGCTTGTGCTGCGCCCATTTTGTGGGCGAGGGATGCCAGTTTCCAGGCCTGCCAGTGCAGCGCGGCTCACCAGCAGTCCATCCCCACACAGCGCTGGCACTGCAGTTCTGCTCTTGAAGCTCAGCACACGGGCAGGGCCCACTCCCTCGCCAGCGCTCGGTGACGTGTCCCAGGAGGAGCCAAAGGGAACGTGGGCTCAGAGCTTCCCGCAGTGGAGGAGACTTCACACCCATCTGAACCATAGGCGCCGACTCTGCGGGTGCTCCGGGGCTGGAGCACCCATGGGGAAAAATTGGTGGGTGCTTTGCACCCACCGGCAGCTCCCTGCCCGCCCCCCGCCCAGCTCACCTCCGCCTCCGCTCCTCCCCTGAGCGCACTGCGTGCCTGCTTTTTCCCCCAGCTCCGAGTGCTTGCGCCGCGAAACAGCTGTTTCGCACGGCTGGGAGAGAGGGGGGAGGAGGGGGAACGTGGAGCGCTTGGGGAAGAGATGGAGCCGGGGCAGGGATTTGGGGAAGGGGTCCAATAGGGGCAGGAAGAGGGCGGAGTTGGGGCGGGGACTTTGGGGAAGAGGTTGCAATGGGGGCGGGGCAGGGGCAGGGAAAGGCTGGAGTTGGGGCGGGGCGGCGCGAGCACCCACCAGCGCCGGGGAAAGTTGGCACCTATGATCTGAGCACAGCTGCAGGCTAGGGGCTGCTGGAACAGCAGTACAGATGCCCAGCCAGAGGGTGTGCCTGGGGTTGGGGAGCAGGGGAAGCCGGCGTGTCTGTAACTCATGTCAGTGAGTGGCACATGCAGCAACGGCGGTGGGATGTTGGCACTGGGTCCAAAGCTCTGGAGGGATGCGGTGCCTATGCCTGCAGACCTGGCGCTCCCCGGGTTTACTCACTGAGCGGCCTGTTTGCTCCTCAAAAAACCTGTCTAGGAGAACAGACAGTTCCTGCCCCAGCCATAACAACCGAGCCCGAAGGCTCGGGTTTGGTCCAGGCGCTTGGCTCGCAGGGGCCAGGCGGCCGCGGCCACGTGCAGACCGACCCCTCACCTTCTAGGGCCCGGGGCGGGGCCCACAGACCGGGGATCCCGTGTGGCAGTTACCCGCCCTGCCGGCTGTCCCGTGCAGGGGATGCAGCTCGCCAAGCAAGGCCAGCGCTAGGCTCTCCCTTGAGCGACTCTGAGCTATGCACAGGCAAGGCACCCACAGTGACAGCTGCAGGCCTAGGCAGGCCCAGGGAGGCCCATGGGCATTGACCGCAGGGGTAGGAGCCAATTGATCATCCTGTCTGAGCTCCCTCACAGCACAGGCCAGCGAGTCTCCCGCATTGCTCCTGCGTCCAGCCAAACAAGCACCTTCCCGCCCGGTGTAACCAGCAGGGACCAGCTCCTGCCCTGAGCCGCTGCTAGCGCAGCTACTGGGTGTGTCTGGGCCACTCGCCCCCACTCCCTGCTCCCAGCTCCCTGACCTGCCCCTAGCGCAGCTACTGTGTGTGTCTGGGCCACTCGCCCCCACTCCCTGCTCCCATCCCCCGACCTGTCCCTAGCGCAGCTACTGTGTGTGTCTGGCCCACTCGCCCCCACTCCCTGCTCCCATCCCCCGACCTGCCCCTAGCGCAGCTACTGGGTGTGTCTGGGCCACTCGCCCCCACTCCCTGCTCCCATCCCCCGACCTGCCCCTAGCACAGCTACTGTGTGTGTCTGGGCCCCCACTCCCTGCTCCCATCCCCCTGACCTGCCCCGACATTGCAGGGCCCAGCTGAACCGGTCCGTTACTGACCTTGCACCGCCAGGGCCCCACTCCATGTTGTCTCCCCCGTCGAGCTGGTAGCGACACAGACGTACAGCCCAGAGTCCATCACCTGCGCACACAAAGGGGAGCCAGTGAGTAGTGCAGCTGCCATGGGTGAGTCTCTGGCCAGGATGGGACACCATCTGCACACCCAGAGGGTGCTGTGCACGAGGCTCCGTTCTTGGGTCCCTTTGTAGTGCCGGGACTGCTGACACCCCCCCTGCCCGCCATGCCCTCGGGGCCAGCCAGGCTGCAGCCTGGGGAGGAGTTGTCTGGGGAAGGCATCCGGCTCTCCATGAGAGGAGCTGAGTTTCCACCGGCTGGATCGGCAGCTGGCTGCACGTTTCCTTGGGAGAGACGAAACTGCAACAGCCACCCCAAGCTGTGTAACAGAGCCTGGTCCCGGCCGGGTTTCTGCTCAGATGGGAGCAGCTCCAGGAGGGCAGGTGGCCTGTGTGTCTGGGCATTGCTGCCCCTCCTGCACTGCCCCGCAAGGGGCAGAAGGCTGCCAGGGGGTATAACTCAGGGGGTCAGCGAGGGGGGCCTGGGCCTCGGGGAGTGACGCTCATGGATCGTGGCTGAGGGCTGTCATACGCACAGCATGAGCTGGGCAGGGAGGGTCAGAGCCGCAGGCTCCCTGGGGCGGCACGGGGCTGAGCGCAGCGATGGAGTGAGCCAGTCTCTGAGCCCTTCCCGCAATGCTGTGCCATTTCGAGATCCCAGTGACAATAAATGGCACATCAGTGTCCAGGGACTTCTCAGCCTGAGTTTCAGGGAATGCCTGCCTGCTGGAGGTGCCAGGGCCTGGCACAGCCCAGCCTGCTATCCGCAGTGATCCCCTGGCACCGCCCTCAGCAGGATGCCACCGCATGGCGCTGCCACGCACACTCCACACTGCTGGAGCTGGGAGGTGAGGGCTGCAGGGTATGGGGAGCTCCACTGGCAGAGCAAGGCCTGGGGCAATGTCCTCTGAGCAGGGCAGAGGGTGGCTGCAGACAGGCTGTGCAGAGAGCGTCGGGGGAGCCCCAGCCGGGGAGGCAGCAGGCCTGGGGGACAGGAGGGCAGCATGCGCAGGGGGGAACGGAGGGAACACTTTAACGCGCCCGTCAGGTGGGGCTGTCCGTGTGGCAGGAGCTGCCCCACTTTCTCCCACGAAGCAGCATGGCCTGAGGAGGTGGCCGTCCCTGGGGACCATTAACTCATGCTAGCCCTGCTAGCCGCCTGACAGCTCTCATTGCTTCCTGGGCACAGAGCCACAACTGCTATCCACCGATGCTATTAGGTGCGCCGGGAGCCGGCAGATGCATTAACCTCCTGACTCGCGCACAACGGCGGCCCAAAGCGAACGTGAAATAGTTCGCTCCCCGCTGACGCCTGCCATCAATGTTTAAAGCACTGTTTAGCGTGAGCGGTGTGTTTTGATAAGTAATTTATGAATAACCTCCACTTTACCCCGGCGCCGCGTCTGACTCCGCCGCGCCAGGCTGCAGACGCGCCCAGCCTGCCTCCAGGCCAGGGGGGGGACCGCAGCTCCCACAGCACCCCAGCCGTGCCCACCCAGCAGCCCTGCACAAGATAGCCCCTATGCCCACCTCCCGGAGACAGGAGCCGGCCTGCTCACTGCTGTTATCATGGCTGAATGCCCCATTCCCGTCAGGTGAGCAGGGCCCCATGGTACCAGGTACCCTGCCCTCCCCATCTGAATGCAGGAAAGGCTGCAACAGGTGTGGTTAACCGACAGGTGAGGGTGGGGGAGGGAGGGCGTGGCAGCACACTGTGGCTACATCAGGTGGTGCACAGCCGGGGGACTCAGCGCCCATGGGGAGCAGGGCGTTCTTTGGAATGAGGCCCGGTCCCAAATGGCATTTAGTGCCTGGAACCAGTAGTGCTGTCAGCCAGCCTGCACCCCTGCTAGGGGCCCCCAGCACTCCCCGCAGAGAGCTGCTGTTCCCAAGGGTGCTCGGGGCTCTTTGTTCTGCTCCGCCACCCCCCCCCCGCCAAATCTGCTCTTTAAAAATAAACGATGGGTGCATGCATGGACACACAGGTGTACGTGCTCACACACACGTGTGCTTGTGTGCACCCCCACCCCCACATGTGCACACACACTTTAAGACTCTACTGCTGCGTAATTCGCGCGCACACAGAAAAAAACCCACTGCTCTCCCTTTCCCCCCGCCCAGCCCACTGCCACAGTTCAAACGCTGCCCACGCAGAGGAAGTGCCATCCCTAGGGCCAAGCCCCCAGAGCTGAGCGGGGCCTTGTCTCCACGGGAGAGCGTCACCACCTTAAGTGCCGATGTGATTTCAAGCTTATGTAGTCCAACTGGTGCAAGGTTAGGTGGACGTCTAACCCTGGGTTAGTTTAAATCAACTAGGACGGAGTTAGGCCTGGGGCCAGATTTTGAGAAGTGTTTAAGCGTTGCTCAGCTTCGTGTTACAAGGCCTAAGTGACTTAGGAGTCTGAGGGCATGTCTACACTACACGCTATGGCTCTGCACTTAACAGGGATGCGCTGCAGCGCTGGGCTGTAGATCCTTCCTACATCGATGGAAGGGGTTTTTCTATGGATGCAGGTAAACCAATGGAAGCACCGAGGTGAGGGCTACCTGAGGTGAGGCATCCACACTAAGGGTGAGGGCTACCTGCCTGTGGTGCTCAGGGCACAAAACTCTTGTAGCTGGGCCGACCAAAGTTTTAGGTGTAGACCAGGCGTAAGTCTCATTTTCAAAATGACTTAGGGCTTGCCTAGACATCAAACGCTGCAGCAGAGAGGCCCTAGCTGGGTTGACTCCAGGGTCAGGACAGTTTAACTGGGTCGCTCAGGGGTGTGGGTTTATACTGACCTAATTTCAGCCCATTTCAGATTGTAAGTCTCATTGAAAGTCAATGGGATTTGACTTTCTTATGTCACTCACACTTTGCAGTGCTAAGCAACACCAAAACACCTTCACACATGTAGGCCTTGGCACACAAATACTGTACCTGTGCAACTGTACTGGGAGAGCAAAGGTGGTAGCAGCCTCTCCTCCATCCCCAGGGGTATACAGTTCTCAGGGGATAAAGGTGCTCTGTCCCATTGCTGCTGTTCCAGCACAGGGAGGAGAATAAGTGATCCTGGAAGAAGACACCTTTACTGTGATGTTTCTGGTATGACTATAAACGCTTGCTGTAGTTACACTGGCCAGCCCGGTAGAACAGCGCTCGGGGGTTAGTTCCCGTTGCTCGAGGAGCAGTAGAAGTCACTCCTCTAGCAGAATGAGTGTGCTCCCAGGGGTCAGCCCAGTGTCGCAGGACCCAGACACTGGCTGGACTCTCCTGCGCAGGGCGGGCTCAGGGACGCTCCTGCTCCCTGGATCTGCTGAAGGTGCACACCCCATGTTGCTCTGCCTGCTCCTGCCAGCCTAGCCAGTTTGGGGACCCCTCCGCCTCCATCTGACTCTCTCCTGGGGTATTTCACAGGTGGAACCAGTGCTGTAAACAACAGAGCCCAGGCCAGTCCACCTGACTGAGGAGCATGGCAGTCTGGCAAGACAGGTGAGGAAATCAATGTTTCTTCCTCTTCCAGTAAAGCCGCTTCCATCTCCTCCCGCCCGCTATGGTCCAGTGCAGTGACGGGTCGCGACCCTGATTCAGTTCAAACAGTGACGCGGAGTGCAACTAACGAGCCAGCGATTCCAGGAGTAAGCGCCCAGCACACCAAGGTACTCAGTCACTAGAAATAAACGTGACCCTCCAAAGCTGTGGTGAACAAAGGGCCTGCTTTCCCCTTGCCTGCCCTTGGGCAGCCATGGACACTAGTGCACGGGTGTGAAACGCTGCCCAATGGGAGCAGCAGCATTTCACGCCTGTGGTGCACAAGGGCGGGGCAATCAGGAATTGGGTCCAATAAGCCCATACCACGAGAGGCCAACCTAACAAACCCATCCCTGCAGGGAGCAAGAGCCTGGCTAGCCCTGGCATCACACTGGCTTCCTGCACTGGGCGCAGCTGCAACCCTGCCCTCTGCCCTCCAACCCTGGCCCGGCTCAGCCCTGGGGCTCCTCTCTCCCAGAGCCGCCTCTGCCTGGGGCAGCAGCACTGGCACCGCGGCAGGATTTCCCTGCCCACTCCAGCTCCACACCCGTCCCTTGCACCTCACACCAGCGGGGGGACCAGGGGAGCGTGGAAAAGCCAGTGGGATGCAGTGGCCGTCAAGGTCAATTTGGGAGGGGATCCCAGGGGCTTTTGGAGGTGTGGGGAGAAGAGTGGAAGGGCTCATTGCCCAGCCCCCTGCCCCAGCCTGTCCCCATCGTCCCCCCCTCCCCTGTCTGTGTCTGAGCCAGGCTGCCAGGGCAATGGGGAGAGCCCGGGGAGATGCTTGGCTCCCCTGGCCCAGCAGCTGGGTGGGGGACATGCTGTCCCGTCCTCCTGCTCCTGCTGCTAACACTGCCTGTGTTGCTGCTGCCTTGATTTCTGCAGTCCCTTCCCTTCCAGCCAAGCACCTGGTAGTCTGTCCTCTGCTCACCCCCCTTGGCATCCCCACACGGGAAGCCCCTGGCCTTTGCTGCCAGGGCTCTTTGTAACTTAGCTCCCACCTACCTCCCTGCTCACTTCCTGCCTTACGGGTCCCCTCCTTTCCCTCGGCCTCCTGCTCCTGGATTCCTGCCTTCATTTCTGCTGTCCCGCTATGTCCAGCCCAGCCCCCAGCCCCCGATTCGGCTCCTGGCCGTTACACTCGTTCCTTTCTCTCCTGGTGGCTTGCGTTGGCGAGGCCGGCTGGGCCAGCGGTCTGGGCCCTCGCTCACGACGTAGGAGACCTGCACCCAAGTCCCTGCTCTACCCCAGAGACTGCCTCTGGGCCTCGAGCAAGTCACTTAGGGCCAGATTTGTAAAGGTATTTAGGTGCCTAGTGGGATTTTCCAAAGCGCCTAACTCCCACTGATTTCAATCTGCCTCGCCTGGTCCCGGAATACCTATCAAAATCTGGCCCTCCGGCTCTGTGCTTCAGCTGCCACGCGTGCAGTGAGGATAAAGCACTTTGCGGCCACACAGGGATTCAGGGACCTGCACCGTGAGACCTGCTAGGGCACCTCTACGAATAACTGCACGGCGGTCTTACCAAGAAGGGGGAGTCAATTTAAAGCAGAACGCAGCCAGGAAAGCTGTACTATGCCAGGTGGACCAATGCACGCAGCAGATTAAATAATCCAGTGTACCTGCATCATGCCATGGGGCTGTTCAAAAATGTCTCCGGTCCAACTGGAGCATCAACAGAACATCACAGGACAAAACTGAAAGGCCCAGTAAAGCGGCAGATTGCAAAGGCATGTGTGCCACTGGGTCTCAAAGAGACGCCGCGTGAGCAGAGTCAGAACAGCAGCGACAGCTTTAGGGGCTCTGTGATTTCTACACCCCACCAGGACCCACTGCGCTTCCAGGACTAACAGAGCTAGCACCAGCTGCCAACTCCTCCCTAGGGAACAAAGCTGGGGGGAGGGGCAGCAGCAGCTTACCTGCACGTTTGTGATCTGCAGAGTCCCGTTGTCTAACAGGCTGACCCTGGGGTCCCTGCCCACAACCTGCTGCCCATCTTTCAGCCACTGGATGCTAGGCAGCGGGTTCCCGGTCACATGACATTGCAGCTGGGCTGTAGCATCCGCGGCCAGCGTCTGATTGGCGGGCCCTCGGCGGATGATTGGCGGGATGCGGTCGGATGTCACTTAAGGGAAAAAGCCCAGAGCAGGTGTTAGCGGCTCTCCTGGCCTGCGTCGAGGGCAGAAAACACCCAGCCCTGCTATTGAAGGACCACGTCCTGTACCACGCCCCCTCCCCCAGGTTAGCCGGCCCCACCACGGCAGTGCGACAGCCTCTGAACAGCTCCTCAGCAGGTGCCACATGGGCAGCAGAGAGGAAGCTCCATGCCCCTCATCCGGTCATGGTGCCCACCCCGCCCCAAGGAGCCAGCCTGGCCCGCTGGGAGAGGGCAGAGACCCAGGCCCGTATGATCCTTGCACTGTCTGCTGAGGCTCCCCCATGGGCCCAGGAGCGTCCGTTTGGTGGCAGGGTTGCTGCAGTAAGAAGCCCACCCAGCCCAGCACCCCAGAGACCCTGCCTCTGGGATGGCAATGTGAGACTCCCCAAGCAGCCCCAAACTCGCCCCACACAGACCTGCCCCTCCCAGCACAAGGGAGCTCCCACTGAGGCCCCTCCCGTGGGCAGCGCCGCGACACCCCCCCCCCCCCGAGGCCTCTCCCATGGGAAGCACCATGACACCCCCTCCCCCCCTGAGGCCCCTACCAAGGGCTCTCCTTAGACGGCACTAGGCACCCGATGCGCCCAAGGGGTAGCTAAACTGCTCCACTCTCTGGAGCACCAGCCTTCCTCTGAACAGGGCAATGGGCACAGCCGACCCCGGGTGCCCCATCTCCCTGTGCTACTGCCCCGTGGGTGGCTCTGAGCCTCTCCCCACACGCACCCCTAGTGCTGCACCCTGCTGACAGCTCCGCGCTCACCTTCCTTTGCTGGCCTGTCTGTGACCCATAAATCAGGGGGCCAATTAGAAACAGGCATTTGTGGTGGACGCAGAGGCCTTGGAGCTCAGGCTGTGCTGACTGGGCTGCAGGGGAGGGCATGGGGCAGCTGAGCCGGAGTGCCATGGCAGCAATGTGCCAGCCCCAGGGGAAGGGGGAGCGTGTTGTGCCAGCAGCCACAGCTGGCAGCCAGAGAGCAAGAAGCACACAATGCAGATAGCTAGATGGTGGGTGCCAGGCCACGGAGACCCAGAGTGCAGAGATTGGGGAACAGAGTGGGAGGTGGCTTCATCTCCTTGGCCCCTCCTATGCTGGGAAAGTGACCAGTGGGGGACCACGGCTAACAGGGGATCTGGGAATTGGCTTCAGACACCACAGCAGAGTGGCAGGCCCCATCTGGCCTGGAGCACACAGGACAGGAAGAGCTGGCACAGACAGAGACGGGAACCCAGCACCTGGTTCCTGTGTCATTTACACTCACACACCACGTGCGAGACGCAGGACACACCCCATGCCAGTGGGCCCAAGGCAGCCCAGGAGTGCGAGAGCTGGCTGGAGGGCAGGGTCACCCGCTCACTCAGCAGGCTGTGGGTCAAGTCCTCCACACCAGAGAACATCCGTTGTCGGTAGCGGGGAGGCCCAAGGTGCAGCACGGGCAGCAGAGAGGGGGGTTATTAGTCGCCAGCCCTCGCAGGACTCTTGTCAAGCTGTCAGAATGGGCTGGCTTTGGACTGGCAGTGCTGCCCCACAACGTGGCTGCCAGGAGCCAGGGCGCAGAGAGGCCTGTGGGCACCGTATCTTGTGGGGCAGGCCAGCGTGAGGGGCAAAGGGAGGCCTGTCTGGTGAGACCTGAGGCAAGCATTTCATTAGCATAAAAACCTAAAACTAGCTTAGAAGCTGTAAACAAGACACTTGAGTGGTCAAAGTCATGTAGAGAACTCCCAGGCTAAGAGGGACAAATTCCAGCCTACATGCATAAGATGTGGAAAAAGTCATAACCCAAGAGATGATGCATGTGCAGCCAGAGGTGTGCAGTGTAATAAATGTATAAAATATGGACATTTTGGAGCTGTTTGCTGCACCAAAGTAGTCAGGGAGTTGACTCATATTACACACAATTCAGAGCCTTTGTTTCTGGGATCTCTCACTTGTGATGACACAAAGCCTGTCTGGAGAGTGAAACTAAATATTCACGGCAAGACTATTGACTTTAAAATTGACTCAGGAGCAGACATCACAGTCATCTCAGAAGGGAACTCCTCCCAGAGCTGAAGTCACCTGACACTGCTTTGACTAGCTCTGGAGGTATTCTGAACTGCATGGGCCAGTTCACCACAGAAACAACTTACAAAGACAAAAGCTTTGCATTCAGAGTGTATGTGATGAACGGATGACAGACCAACAACCTTTTCAGCCGCAGTGTGGCAGCCATGATGGGCCTAGCAAGAAAGGTGGAAGAACTTGATTGAGAATTTGATGATATTGGACTTTTGAATTGAGATCCAGTACAAATCAGCTTGAGAGACAATGCTGGACCATACAGTAGACGAACACCTGTACCAGCCAGATCTTGGAAGAGACTAGCGGCAGATTTATGCAGATTCAGGGGACATCATTACCTGGTCGTTGTGGACTTTTTCAGTTACATAGAAATAATGTACTTGAAAGTCATAACGTGTCACAGTGTTATTGAGAAACTGAAGTGCACTTTTGCTCACTTCTGTATTAGAGAATAACTGGTGATGGACAATGGATCATGATTCACCGCAGCAGAATTTATGTCATTCAGAAGGAAATATGATATTGATCATATTACTAGTAGTGAATGGAGAGCTGTACAGACAACCAAGAAAATCCTACAGCAGAAAGATCCACTCCTTGCTCTTCTGAGTTACAGATCAACACCAATAGCATCTACTGGATATAGTCCAGCACAACTCCTGATGGGAAGACAACTCAGAAGTACTGTTCCAACTTGGGAAAAGAATCTGTCTCCACAGTGGCCAGACATTAAGCCAAATTGGATAAAAAGCAAAAAGCCCACAAACACTTTTACAACAGACATCACTCATTTAGAGAACTGCCAGGTCTAGAACCTGGTGACCGTGTTTATGTCAAAGCGGATGGAGAAAAAGGATGTCCAGCTGTCATGAAAAAAAAAATTTCATTGCCCAGATCATATGCGATTGAGACCAACAGTGGAGAGTTCAACAGAAACTGTTGACATCTAGTTTGTTCCTCAGACAGAACAATCCACAGAGCAAACTCTACAGCTGGCGGACACAAAACAAGAAGATGACTCAAGAATTCCAAACTGACCACAGCCAGCTGTTGTAACTACCGGACAAGCCAGGTGTTATGTGTTTGGGTCCTGTAATTAAAAAACCCAGTACGATTCAGAGATCCTTAACAAACTGATACATACTGAGCTTCAGAGACAGCATGATAATGTAAATATAGGCATGTAGAACTTAAAGGGGGAGATGTAGTGGAACGCTACACTGTATTATACAGTTCAGCCACTAGACTTCACTGTGTGTAAAATACCGTATTTAAGCAATCCTCAGCCATACCTGGCACAGCATTAAAGGATCTGATGCTGAACACAGCTGAGGTGTAGAGGCGAGCTCTATGACCTGTCCACATCTGGTACAGGGACATGGCAGATGTGAACAGGGCTTGCCCCACCATGGCTTTGAGTCATTTGAGAATTTGCCTTTGTAGCCCTAATGCTGGGAGGTTTTCTGTGACGTGGCTTGTTTTATGCAGAAGCTGACAACGCCCCCCAGGAGCTAAACAACTCAACTCCAGTTCTGTCTGGCAGGAGCCAGCCGCACCAGAAACGCGGCTGTTGTTGTTCTAAACAGGATCTATGCTAATTTTTAAACAAGACTGAAGTGGGTGGCTCGCATGTCATCGTCGCTCAGCGGCTGGCTGACGGCCTCCAATTTGCATACAGGCTGGCCACCAGCATTCAGAGCCTCAGCCACTGGCCTGGCTGGCATTAGCAAACAGCTCAGCTAAAATGGCGGCCAGCCACATGGGGCCACTTTCTAAACTCTGGGGGTTTTGGGGGTGTTAATCCTAATTTGAGAAATGTGGCTTTGGGGGCATAAATCAGTGTTCTGGGCCATAATGGTGACTGCCAGGGCCTCCGCTGGCAGAGATGCCAGCTCATTTCACATCAACTGCACAGACATGCACCAGAAAGTCATATCCCAGAATAGGACAAAAGAGCCAGTGATGGAACACAGCTGCTTCCCCCTCTGTGCTCTGTCTGCCTTATAAAGCATCACTGTTCCTTTAAGAAGCTGGCACATTATCATCTGCAGAACAACTTGGCAGTCCACACGGAAGAGGAAGGACAGGTGCTGGGGAGTCCACAGGCTCCTCAGTGGGTGACGGGGCCAAAGAGACAGGGGATGAGAGCAAAATTAACACCATTCTGCCCTAATCTCGTAGTCCAGTGACCAGGCTGCGTTGGGTACTGGGCTAGAACTGGGGCACAACGTCCTGGGACGGCCTTTGGGCGTGAAACTCCTCACATGGGACTTGTCGCCCTTTGGAGTCTCCGTACGAGTCGTGCTCGGTTTCTTTCCATAAATGTTTAATAGGAAGGATTTGAAATTGGTCTGAGGCTGATGGGCCAGAACAGTTTTTGTCAACAGATCATCTTTTACAAGCCACTGTTCAGCTCCATGGAGGCTGGCAGAGAGGTGAACGTTGAGCAATCTGGGGGAAGGGACAGTGTTAGAAAAGAGTCACGTAGGACTAAGGGCCACTGTTTACTATTATGCTTCATAACATTTGTTCTCGTCTCTCCTGTGTAGGTTTTTATGCCATGCTCCTACAGCCAGGGCTGGAGAATCAGCTCTTTGCCAGACCCTCACAAGGAGGGATAGCTCAGTGGTTTGATCATTGGCCTGCTAAACGTAGGGTTGTGAGCTCAATCCTTGAGGGGGCCATTTAGGGATCGGGGGGGGAATCTGTTAGGGGTGGTAGTTGGTCCTGCTGTGAAGGCAAGGGACTGGATTCAAGGTCCTTTCCAGTTCTATGAGATAGGTATATTTCTATATTGCAGAATGGCAGCCATCACCCACTGTTCTCAATGGGATTAGGACCACAGGCTACCCTCAATTACAATGGGACATCTTGTGACAGCCTGTACGCCTATGCTCACTCTTTTTAC